ACCCTAAAACCTGAACCCTAAACTTGAAACGGAGGGGTGCAAGGCTTGGGGATAGGACTCACACCAGGCCCTGGAAGCCTAAATAGTTCGACCAGGGCCTTAGTGGTGGTCTGTCAGAGCATAATGTAGGAGCCTTATTAAGTTTGAATAGGGTTTTGGGTTACACTATATCATAGTTATAATAAGGAAGCAGCGTCACAGGGGGGTTTGGGGTTGAGGGTTTAGGGGTTTCGGTTACAGAGGTTGTGGTGGGGAAAGTACGATACCACCGACACTTCTCCAGAAGGAGCAGCTGCTACTGCACAGCGGAGACGACTGACGGTCCTATTCGAAGTACTGCCCTAAACTCCAAACTCTAAACCTAAACCCTAAAACCCTAGACTCTAAACCCTAGGCAAGGCATCGGGCAAGGGAGGGTGTGTCTGACCTGCTCCACGGCGTTCTCAAACTGCCGCACCTCTTTGTACAAGCGGAGGATATCCTCCCAGGCACCAGGACCACACAGTTAAAGGCTTCAGGGTTTACAGCATCGGGTTTAAGAAATTTAGGGTTAGGAGCTAGTGCATAGTATGTGGCACTTAACAAGTAGAACAGGGTTTGGGGGTGGTACATAATGGTATGATTATAAGGGACCTATACGGGGATACTATGCCGACCCCTACATGAGGGGTTTGGGATTGGGAGGAGGGAGAATGTCGGAAGCCTCAAAAGGTGGGATGAAGGTAGGTGGGATATTCCCAAATAATAGTTCTTATATAAGGGATCCTTAATCCTACCTACCTTCATCCCACCTTTTGAGGCCTCCGAGAATGGTGACCATGGGAGCTTAGGCGCTTCTGCCGCGATGCTGGTGTAGCCGATACGTACTCTCTGGATCTGCTTGCTTCGGCAACCCCCCCCCAAAAAAAAAAAAAACTTACCTTAAGCTACCAAAACCTACTTTTTTGTAGGGGTCCCTATAAATTCTATAGTAAGGTTGATAATTAGAACCTACAAAAAAGTAGGTTCTGGTAGTCTAAGGTCATGCTGAGTTGTGAAGTCGAGGGCCCCTTCCCGAGAAGCCGAAACACCCATGCAGTCGGACAATAGTTGCACGTGCACGCACAACAGGGCTCCTAACCCCCTGAAGCCTGAACCGTAAAGCCCAAAAAAACACCGAGACGCCCTAAACTCCAAACCTTAAACCCATTTGCTTGGGGATGGAAAGGCTTAAGCAGCAGTTTGGAGAGATAGGGGTATCCCCAAGGCAGGGATACACCTGTTGAAATGGCTTAAACCCCACACCCTGAACCCTAGACCCTGCCCCTAACCCGAAACCCTAAAGCCGAAACCCCAAACCCGAAACCCTAAACCCTAAACCCTAAAACCCCCAAACCCGTCAGAGGCCCCTTACTTGGAGGTTCATGGTTGGTTATAAGTGGGGTTATAATTAGGGTAACTATAGTTATAACCCATATTATGGGACTTATAACCGTACTTCTAACTACCCATGAACCTCCAAGTAGCGTTGCGGCCTTTAAAAGGTCCCCGGTCCTTGGCCCGGGCTTCGCCTCTCAGGCGTCGGATACCATGGACGAACTCCTCCACTCTAAGGCTTTAGGGTTTAGATTTCAGGGGTTTAGGAGTTTAAGGGTTTCGGGGTTTAGGGGTTTAGAGTTTAGGGTTTAGGGGTTTAGGGTTTAGGGTTTAGGGTTTAAGGTTTTCGGGGTTTAGGGGTTTAGAGTTTAGGGTTTAGGGGTTTAGGGGTTTAGGGGTTGAGGGTTTAGGGTTTCGGGGTTTAGGGGTTTAGAGTTTAGGTATAGGGGTTTAGGGGTTTAGGGGTTGAGGGTTTAGGGTTTCGGGGTTTAGGGGTTTAGAGTTTAGAGGTTGAGGGGTTCAGGGGTTGAGGGTCTAGGGTTTAGTGGCTTCAGGGCCTCACGACCAGGGCTCAGGAGGAAAGCTTGGTAAGGTGTTGTTGAGGTTGAATTGCAGGGCTGCAAGATTGCTAAAGCTGTGGGATTAATACAGTGGCCTTATTTTTCTAGAATCGGGCTTTGGGGCATTATAGTAAGGAACCCCCAAAATAATATAGGTAATCATTAAGGCTTATATTACCTACTTGTGGGGTATTTTTGGGAACTACACGTTAACCTTTGGGAGTGTATTGGGGTTACATAGGGGTTATAGTACCCCAAGAAGGGTTAAGTTACCTACCCTAGTACTAAGATTGGGGCTTAGGGGTTAGGGGTTAGGATTCAAGATTCGGCTTAGGGCCTCAGGGTTCGGGGTCTATCTCCCAGGAGCACGGCCTCCGCTTCTTGGCGGAAGAAGGTGGCAAAAACCTGGTCTGTCTTGCCAGACTAACAGGGTGAGTAGGATTCTATAACAAGAAGGGTTCTCGAGATTTTAGGGTGCTTCGGTTTCAAGGTTCAGAGTACAGCAGGTGTTGGATTCGGTGCTGGGGTTCGGGATTCAGAGTGATTCAGAGCTCCATTCTCAGAGTTTGCAAGCTCAGTGGGCCCTCAATCTTGACTGGGTTGAGGAAGCAGGACCGCAATGAGCCACGGCCCGGCCGTCCGGACTGAAGGTGCTCCGAACCAGAAACTCTCGACTGAAGGGCACGCAATGGAACTGGCGAAAACTGGGAAATCCTACCTCTTCGATTGCTGGATCGGCAGCCCAAACCCCGAACGGCTCAACTCGTCCAAGAAGCGCATCTCGCACCCTTCACGCGGCTGCGAAGGACGTTCTCGAGGATGGGTAGCCAGGGCCCCCCATTCGTCACCTTCGAAAGAAGAGATTGCAAACCCTCCCCCTTGCACCCTAAGCCGAAAGTGCTGAACCCTAACACCTGCCATGGTGCTTTGACCGTGCACTGTATTTCGGCGCTTGAGCTTGATACTCTACTTGCAACCTAATGGCCTTATGCCGACACCCTAAATCGCGAAGCCTTTGCGAACCTATTCCTATACCCCACAGCCCAAACCCTTAATCCCGATCCCAAGCTTCACCCCCGAAGCCTCAACCTGAATTTTGGGGCTCGCGCTGGCAAGAATGTCTGAAGGATCTTTGGGCCTTATTTGGTAGCCTTCAGCCCTGAAATTCTCGAACCCGAAACCATGAAAACGTCGAACCCAAAACCCTACACCCCAGCACCGCGAAACCACACCCCCAAAAGCCAAAACTCAACCCTAAACTCGTAACGCCAAAAACCCCCAAGATCCCTTGCAAAGCCCCCGAAATCCCCAGTTTGAACCCGGGGAGCTCTTGGGCCTCCGGGTGAGCGGCGAGGATGAGGCCCGAGGGCGGCTGGGCGGACAGGACCAGGTCCTGCTGGAGTGAAGGAAACGGTATAAAGGGTTTAGGGTTTCGGGTGTAGAGGTGCATGTCGGGCTCAGGGTGTAGAGGTTAAGGGCGAAGGATTCCGGTACCCTAGCCCCTGAAAGGATCCTTACACCCTAAACCCCAAACCGTAACAGAAGAATCTCCGAAAGAAGATCCTACCATTGTGTCGGTTTAGGGTTTAGGGCTTCCTAACCCTAAACCCGAAACCCTAAACCATGTTTCAAGGCATCCAGCTTTACGGCGTCTGAGTTGGGGTTCGGGCTTAGGGTTTCGCGTTTGGGGTTTAGGGTTTTCTGGTTTGCAATTTCCGGTTGGGGTCAGGGCCAAATCATGTGCTTTCTTGAGGGCTCATTGGGTCAGGTGGCCGGAGGGAGGGTTGTTTCAGACACCGCCTGCTGCTTCAGCTCCAGCCGTACCCGGCCCCCGAAGGTGTGCTGGGCCCACTTCTCCTGAACTCAGAGACTCCAATATCCCTTAGTTAAGGAATATACCTTACATCATGTTGGGGATCCTACTATAATTTAAGCTATATTCCCTTAATTAAGGAATATACCTTAAACCATAGTGGGGATCCTACTATATTCCTTAATTGAGGGATATTGGAGTCTCTGGGAAGCGCCAAAAATGGTTTCGGATTGGGGCTTCAGGGTTTGGGGCTCAGGGTTTAGGGTCTAGGGCTTTGGGCTTCGGGTTTAGGGTGCAGGGTTTGGGGTTTGGGGTTTAGGGCTCAGGGTTTAGGGTTTTGGGCTTAGGGCTTAGGGTGTAGGGTGCAGGGCCTGGGGGCTAGGGCTTAGGGGTTAGGGGCTAGGGCTTTGGGATTAGGGTTTGGTTGGCTTTAGCCAAGTCCGATGTACCTTTTTTCCGTGCTCCAAGGACGCAACACCCCCGACATGCCCCCACGCTCGGAAACCCCCAAATCACCTGCGACTGTCGAAACCTAAACCCCAAAAAAAACCTAAACCCGAAACCTCTACACCCCAAATCCCTGTACCTCTAAGCCCGGGAAGCCTAAAGTGTGACCCCCTTATCTTCTGGCGGCCAAGCTGCCCAAGCGCCCCACCAGAAGTTCTGCTCTCGCACATCGCAGCCTGTTTTGGGTTTCTTGGCTCATGCCTTCTCCAGGTTATGGGGCCAACGAATTAGGGTATCACGGCCTTCACGTCCATGCATTTGGTTTTTGTGCGTTGCATCTGAACGCCCCTTAAGCACAGAGTCGTGGCTGATGTCGATATCGACTAAATAACTTTCAGCTATATGTTTCTATACTAGTCGATACACTTCTGCATGACTAATACTTGTAATGCAGTCTAGAATATTCATCATAGTCTATACGGCTCTGTTCTGACTACCACTGCAGGGGCCTCAATAACTGGAACAGGGTTTTGGGGGTATATCATACTATAACTATAATAAGGAACCCTCAAAATAGTATTGGTAATTATTTAGACCCCTATATTATTCTGCTTATCAGGCTCCCAAGCCTAAAAACTATCGCTTCTCCGCTTCTTCGTTTCAATAACTTGAAGCGCCATAGCTCTCATCTTTAAGCGATGCTGTAGGAACCTTTAGGAGCCTTTCGGAATCGACCCGCAACCCTAAACCCCTTAAGCCCCGCACATTCAAGCCTTATTTTCCGGTACATGCCTCTAACGGGCTGGCCCCGAAGTCGAAACCTCCTATCCCAAACTGGGCCCAGGGCCCCCTAAACCCCAAATCCTCAACCCTAAATCCTCAACCCTAAACCCTCAAGCCTAAACCCTAAACCCTAAATCCTAACCCTAAACCCTAAACCTTAAACCCTGAACCCAGGGCCCGACACCCCAAACCTCGAAGCTGACCCAGAGGGGCCTCGCACCTCCAGTGCCGTGGCACCACCTCGCAGAGGTACATAGTTGGGAGCTAGGATTGGGGGGACCCTTGGGGATATAGACCCTCTCAATAAGGTCCCTTTTAAGAGAGCAGGGTTCAGAAGGGGTACCCCTAATAATACTACCTAATAGTCGTATAGGTAGTTTCTTATCGTAGATTATGACATGCTATAGTATTCTCTAATATGTTAGAGTATGTTCTGGTATAGCAAGATATCTTGTAGCATGTTACAGTATACTATAGTATTACTATCGTATACTATAGTATATGGTTATAGTATATTACGGTGTACATTGAAGGGATTTGTCCCTCAGGTTTGAGGCTTTGCAGTATCTGCCGGGCCTCCGGCTTCCGTACGTGCCTTTGACAAGTTCGGGCCGGAGGCAGTGATGATTCAGGGAGCAAGGACATTCACCATTTCGGGTTTGGGCTTTAGGTATACCAGCCATTACGTAGCTATGAGCGGATTCTGGTTGTGGAAATCGCGCCAAAAATGGTTGACCGGGATACACAGATCTGCGGCCTAACAATGGAAAAGAGTCCAGTGTGTTAAACCTCTGAAACTCGTCTCGATCCCAAACCCCAGACATCCACACTCCAACTTCTCCCCCGAGTGATGCCAGCGCCTGGGCGTAAGAATCTGCTCGCGAGGAATGGCAGCAGGTGGGGCGCCTGCACAGAGTTTCCTTAAACCCGAAGCCCTTTGCCCTAGTCCCTCAACATCCCCAAATCCTAAACCTGTGTCCCTAAACATCCCCAAGCCCTAAACCTCTGGTTCTGGCCTCAAAGAAGTCGTGGCAGAAGGGCGCCGCCACATGAAGCACGCCCGCAGCATCCAAGGGCAGCTGAGCCAGGAAACCCCAGGCCTGGACAGCAGCGAGAAAGCCCGCAGGGAAGCTTAGGGTCATGTACTTCAATAGTTAGAATAGGGTTTTGGGGGGTTCCCTTCAAAAAAGGGTTTATTAAAGGGTTCTATAAGGGCTACTATAAGGGTTTAGGGTTTGGGGCCTGAATAATTAGAATAGGGTTTTGGGGTTCCAGCAAGGAGCCCCCAAAATAGTATAGGTAACTATTTAGGCCCCCATATTAGGACAGAGGGCTCATTATAGGATTTAGGGTTTAAGGTTGGGGTTCACTGTTTGTAGTGCTTTGGGGGTTAAGGGTTCAAGGTTCAGGGTTCAAGGTTCAACAACCTCGGAAGCCCCAAACTACAAAAGTCACCGAAAACAAGAAACCGAAGCCTGAAGGCACCATCTAGAACCCATAATGCCCAATCAGAAGGCACGCAAAACAGCATCAGTAGGGAAGGTAACAACTCCCCAAGCTCCAAACCCTAAAGAATCAAGACCATCTGTATAGGGCTTAGGGTTTAGGGCTATAGGGTTTAGGGTTTAGGGTCTAGGGGTTAGCGTTTAGGGTTTAGGGTTTAGGGTTTAGGGTTTAGGGTTTAGGGTTTAGGGTTTGGGAATGCAGAACTAAGCCGGCCGCATCAAAAAAACGCCCCAAAACCCGCAGCGAAGGAGCCCCCTGGAGCCTCCAGGCTCTCCATGAAGCATCGGTAGGCACCATCCCGCCCATCCTTCTGGGGTTTAGGGTTTAGGGTTTAGGGTTCAGGGCTTAGGGCCTTTAGGGTTTAGGGTTTAGGGTTTAGGGTTTAGGGCCTTTAGGGTTTAGGGCTTAGGCTTAAAAGCCCTGAGGATGTCGACTACTATGAGAATTTGGAAGAGTTTTTGGCTGCAGGTTTGGGCCTAGGGCAGGCCTAGGGCTAGGGTTTAGGGTGTAGGAATTTGGGCTCGGAATTGGGGCTCGTGCTTTTGTATGCTGTGAGACTTGTTGCTGAGAGGGGCTCTTGGGCAATTCGTACGACTTCTATACCTGTATAACTAGAGTAGGGCTTGGCTGCACGTTATAGAATGGTCATAGGGACGATACAAAAAATCTAGCTACGAATTACTCAGACCGTCATGGCACGGAATCTCGTCCTGGACTCTGGCATACTATAGAGACCGTAATAATTAGAATAGGGTCTTGGGCTCCTTTTATACTTTAATTATAATAAGGAACCCCATAGTATTGGTAATTACCAAGGCCCCTACATTGCAGAATTTTCTGCTTGCTGGATGGCTCTGGCCGCTTGGCCACAGCAAGGATAGCAGCAGATGGAAGGCCCTATCGATGATTCTTCCTCCGGCTTCTTCTAATAGGGGCCTCAACAATTGCCTATACTATTTTTTTTTGGGGGGGGTTATGGTTGTAGTAGGATATACCCCAAAGCCCTATTCTAATTATTAAGGCCCCTACACTCTTGACTTCAAGGGTTGTGCAACCGGTCCATGAAAATGTCAGAACGAACCATTGCATGCTGCTCAAAAATTTGACGTCCTTGGTGCTCTGCGACTTCTTCGCCAAGTCCATCGCCACAGCAAGGTCTGCCAAAACCGTGCGGAAGTGGGGACTGACACTGAAGTTGGTCCTAGGATCATTCGTTTCCGGCTCAGTCCCGATACTTCCAAAGAACTAGAGCCTATGGGGCACAGAAGCACGGCAAAAGCCGCCAACACCCTCCAGAGCCGAGGCACCGGGGGGCAGGTCGGGCGTCTGCACCGGCATGGAAACCGGCCGGGGAATGCCTCAGAGAGAGAGACAGAGAGAGAGAGAGAGAGAGAGGGAGAGGGACAGTGAGAGGGAGAGAGGCAGAGAGGGACTTCAAGCGCTTGGCATTTGGGATGACGGGGCGGTCTAGCAGGTGATGCTAGAGAAACGGATTGTCACCGACTACGGCAAAGCGATCATCATTTTCATTGACACTGACATTTACAAATCTCTCATGAAAGAGCATTGAACAATCACACCAAGGCCGCCAAGCCATTGCAGTCCAAGACACTTGGTGCTGCAAAGGGCACTTGCTGAATCTGCACTCCTCACACCGAGGCACCACATGATGCAGCTTCGACACAAATTTTATGTGGGTAGTTTCTAAATTAGGGTCCCTTTTTGGGTCCCCATTATAGTCCGGCACCCTTATAAAGCGGACCCCAAAAGGGACCCTCATTTAGAGAACTGCCCATGTGGCAACACTGTGACAGCGAGGAGTGCGAGGACAAGGGCTTCATGCAGGATGAGGGCTAGGTCGGCACGCTCAAAGTTCGCTGGGCGTGAACATGAAGTAGCCTAGAAACGCTGTAAAGAAGAAGAGCCCTTATCCGTGAAACCCTAAACCCTAAACCCTAAACCCTAAAACCCTAAACCCAAACCCAAACCCCGTACCCTAAACCAGGCCCTAGACCCCCACACCGAAACCTGAACTCTGACTCCCACCCCAAAATACCCTGACAAAACCCCCTTTAGCCCCTATAAAACCCTAAACTCTAAACCCTTAAGACAGAAGCTTTACCAAAAATCTCAAAGCCCAAACCCTGTTACCTTATGAAACCATGAACCCTAAAACCCTAAACCCTGAACGCTGCCCTGAAAACCTGAAACCCTAAACGGCCCTAAACCCAAACCCTAAACCCTAAACCCCTCAACCCAAAACCCAAAACCCGAAACTCTAAACCCTCACCCTAAACCCAAACCCCTAATTAAACCCGAAACCCTAAACCCTAAAAACCCTGAACCCCTAAATCCTAAAGCCCTAAACCCTAAACCCTAAAACCCTAAACCCTAAACCCCAACCCCAAACCCTAAAAACCCTAAA